ACGGACATTTGTGAATATCAAGCTACTTCTTCAGATGCAATGACTGAAAATTTTAACTCATATTTTATCATGGTATTTGTGTATATCAATCAACTAGCCTTAAAAGGTTCTATATTTATTTCCCCCTTTCTCCCTTTTCCTTTATTTCTGCGTATTTATTTGTGTATACAAGTCACTTGTCAACTTATGGTGACCCCATGAATTTCACAGAGTTTACTTAGACAGGGAGTACTCAAAGGTTATTTTGCCAGTTCCTCCCTCTGAAATGTACTTAGTATTTGTTGGTGTTCTACTATCCAAATAAAAACTTTGGATTGTTCTTAAAGACATGGGTGTATCACAACATTTTTTATTGTGGTGATGCATTGCTTATTCTCAGGACAAGAGGTCATTGCCAAGTTTGAATATGGAGAAACAAAACAGTCTGCTGTTGGCATAGAGGCCAGGAAAGGCTGCATTTGATTACCCAATCACATTTGTATAGGAAATAAACATACAATATGGAAAGATGGGTTAGATTTGGAGGAAAGGAAATGTGAACATTGAAGGAAGGAACATGAAAGTATGCAGATGACACCATAGTACTAGTTGAAAATAGCAAAGCCTTGGAACACCTATTGAAGAAATGCAAGGAAGAAAGTGCAAAGGCAGGGTTACCGTTTATTTTTATTGGCATGATTATATATATGAAGTTCAATAAAATAAAATGTTCATTATCATTGTTTCTTTTCTGGCCGGGGCCTCCGGTGGCACAGTGGGTTAAACCGCTGAACTTGCTGATTGAAAGGTCGCAGGTTCAAATCCGGGGAGCTCCTGCTGTTAGCCCCAGCTTCTGCCAACCAAGCAGTTTGAAAACATGCAAATGTGAGTAGATCAATAGGTACGACTCCAGCAGAAAGGTAACGGCGCTGCATGCAGTCATGCAGGCCACATGACCTTAGAGGTATCTATGGACAAGGCTGGCTCTTTGTCTTAGAAATGGAGATGAGCATCTTGAGTTGGACATGACTGGACTTAATGTCAGGGGAAAACCTTTACTTTAATCTACCTTTTCTGGCCATTGTTATTATTAGTTTCATTTCATTATTACTGAAAATATTTTTTTGTTAAAAATGTGTTTAAAAATGATTTTCACTGGGTTTCACTGCGTAGTGTAAAAAAGTTAAAATTAAATAAATGCATGATTAGAATGATGAGCACGTGTTTTTAGACTTATTTATTTATGTGCCCTCGTCAGAAGTAATGTACTACATGCGTTTTTGCATTAAGTGTCTTCAGCTCATCTACCATGGGCATGTTTACTACTAGTATATAATTCTTTATCAGAAACTGTGCCTTTGAGAGTTAATGTAGAACAGAGGTCTTACAGAATAAAACCAACAGGTGAAGCTTTCCTTATCACTGCCTTCATGCTGAATAAAGAGTAACCCCAGGTGTGAGGTTTGCTGTTTATAAAGTCAATTTCAGCCCATGTTTTAGAATAAGGTGCCCCAACCCCGATATTAAGAAACATCAATTACTTTCATATAATTAGGAATTACTACTCAAGACCAATGTAGTATGAGAGCTATCATCAACATTTGCAACTTTTGCAACCAGCAGACTGATTGGCAAACGTTTAGTAGCCATTTCGAGGCACGGTGAGAAATGGATAGGAAATATTATGTTAAAGTCACAGACACGCTGCTAGGAAAAGATTTCGCAACTTGGAAGACAAGGTACAGTGGAAATATACATTGCATAGCAACTGAAAGGTTTAGGCTCGAACCCCAAATGCCACAATTTGGTAGGGATGGTCCTCCCATGCTACTTTTTCAGCTGCTTTGAACACAATCTAGTTTATCTCCCTCCTCCAATTTTCCCTCTTTGACCTTGGTTTATTTCATTTCCTACAAACAGAGGTCAAATTGCAATAGTAGTTTGCACTCCCTTAACTCAGTTCATCTGAAGAGGAGAGAACCTTGGTAAACTTAGACAAAAGCAAAAACTTGCAGTCTCCTAGGGCCCTTCCACACAGCCTTATAACCTAGAGAACATTAAGGCAGAATAATGCACAATAGCTGTTTTGAACTGGGCTATCCGAGTCCACACTGCCATATAGCCACACTGCCATATATAGTTCAAAACAGATAGTGTCAGATTTTATTCAGCTGATGTGGAAGGGGCCTTTGTATTTTCTTTCTCATTAATCACCTTTGCCATCTTGACCACACTGTGATGCTTAATCACAAGTATCCTGATTTACATCTGTGAAATGAAATTAGACTTCTTTAGGTAGCAGCAGTAAGAACTCACCATGGAACAACAGACTGGTTCAAGATTGGGAAAGGTGTATGGCAGGGTTGTATACACTCACCCAACCTATTCAACTTGTATGCAGAACAGATCATGCGATGTGCAGGGCTTGACGAATGCAAGGCTGGGGTTAAAATTGCTGGAAGAAACATTAACAACCTTAGATATGCAGATGATACCACTTTGATGGCCAAAAGCAAGGAGGAGCTGAGGAGCCTTCTAATCAAGATGAAAGAAGAAAGCACAAAAGCTGGGTTGCAGCTAAACATAAAAAAAACCAAGATTCTGGCAACAAGAATGATTGATAATAACTGGCAAATAGAGGGAGAAAACGTGGAGGCAGTGACAGAATTTGTATTTTTAGGTGCAAAGGCTACTGCAGATGCAGACTACAGCCAGGAAATCAGAAGATGCTTACTTCTTGGGAGGAGAGCAATGTCCAATCTTGATAAAATAGTGAAGAGTAGAGACATCACACTGACAATGAAGATCCACATAATTAAAGCAATGGTATTTCCCATAGTAACCTACGGATGTGAGAGCTGGACCATAGGGAAGGCTGAGCGAAGATGCTTTTGAGCTGTGGTGTTGGAGGAAAGTTCTGAGAGTGCCTTGGACTGCAAGAAGATCCAACCAGTCCATACTTCAGGAAATAAAGCCCGACTGCTCATTGGAGGGAAGGATAGTAGAAGCATAGATGAAGTATTTTGGCCACATCATGAGAAGAAAGGAAAGCTTAGAGAAGACAATTATGCTGGGGAAAATGGAAGGAAAAAGGAAGAGTGTCCAACCAAGGGCAAGATGGATGGATGGCATTCTTGAAGTGACTGGATTGACCTTGAAGGAGCTGAGGGTGGTGACAGGGAGCTCTGGTGTGGTCTGGTCCATGAGGTCACGAAGAGTCGGAAACGACTGAACGAATGAACAACAACAACAAGGTAGCCTTCATAAAGGATCTTGCTCTTATCATGAAAAGAGTTAGAAGTTGAGTTTTCACATGCAAAATGCTGGCAGCTGTGGAATCCTATAAGTTGTTCCAGCTAAAGTATAGCATTGAAACAAAGGGAGAATGATAAATCAGCGCTTAGAAAAATCTCGTTCATTCAATAGGTCTCCTCTAGAAAGTCTATCAATGGCATTCAATCCTCCATTTACACATAGCAGATTATGGTTTAGTATCATATGTTCATATCTGTAGATTGTGTCCTCCCCATTCTTTCAAGTGGGACTGAAAGAAGAGATAAGAAATGTTTGCATTAATTTTTTATCTTGTGTGATTTATCATTGTGTCTGAGCACCAATATTGTGGTGCTGAGATGACTTGCTAAACCACAGTTACAAATTAACTATAGTTTGGGTTGCTGTGAGTTTTCCATGTTCCAGAAGCAAGGAGAGAATACTTCTGGAACATGGCCATACTACCTGGAAAACTCACAGCAACCCAGCAGTTCCAGCCACGAAAGCCTTTGACAACACATTAACTATAGTTTGTTTGGACCTACACCAAATTTGAAGTGCCTTCCAGTTTGTCAGCCTGAGAGTGACTAAAGGTTCACTTACACTGTAGAAATAAAATGTTGAGTTGTCCATCTGATAGCCACATCAGTGTGAAAAAGTGAAACTAACTGTGATTCTATATTTATCATATCAGAAGCGAACCAAGGGTACAGTTGTAATGTATTTAAAAACACAAAGTTTTAAACAAACTTGGCATTATATTAAATGTCCTTTGACCAGTAGTTCGCCATTTGGAGTGCCTTTGGGGTTGCTGTAAGAAGATCCTCCATTGTGCATGTGGCAGGACTTAAGACTGCATTGTAATAGGTGGTCTGTGGTTTGCTGTTCTGCACGCTCACATGTTGTGGACTCCACTTTGTGGTCCCATTTCTTAAGATTGGCTCTGCATCTCATGTTACCATATTACAGTCTGTTCAGCGCCTTCCAAGTCACCCAGTCTTCTGTGTGCCGGGGGGGGGGGGGGGGGGGGGGGGGAGAGTCTCTCATTTGGTATTGGCCATGGCTTGAGGTTCGGTGTTTTAGCCTGCCACTTTTGGACTCATGCTTGCTGAGGTATTCCTGCGAGTATCTCTGTAGATCTTAGAAAGCTATTTCTTCATTTAAGATGTTGGCATGCTGGCTGATATCCAAACAAAGGATGGGCCGGAGATGTCACTGCCTTGGTCCTTTCATTATTGGCTGCTACTTCCCGGTGGTGCAATACCGGCTAAACAGTACAATTTCTCCAGTGTTGTAGAGCGTAAACATCCTGTGATAATGTGGTATATCTCATTAAGAGCCAAATCCACTGTTTTAGTGTGCTGTGTTCCACACTGGGCACACGTTTTCAGCCACAAAGTAGCAAAGCGCAAGGGCAGATGTCTTCACTGTGATTCTCCATGTCTGGGAATACAACAGTGGTATTTACTTCTGAGTAAATTTGGATATGTTAACTACTGCAGTTCTAAGTACTTTCATACTTAGAACTACAGTAGTTAATTTATAAATGAATTAATAAGTAATGGTTGGAGTACACACAGAAGTCATTCGTACATAGTACCATCGTGATTGTTTTCCAAAGACGAGATGAGGATAAAGGGCAAAAGATGTACAATAAGTTATGCACTGTCACTTGTAGGTGAAATGTGGTTTGCCACTTCCCTTCCTGTTATGTTGCCTGCACTTTCAAACAGCCTGACCCCACTCACTTTGATGCAGAAGTAAGCCGGATTGCGTCTAAGAGGCTTTGCTCTAAGGGAGCCTATAACAGCATCCCTGAGAACAATTAGTCACTTCCTGTTACGAGAGCTTCCCAGCACTTCCTGCATGTCTCTGTTATTTAAGGGTGTGTGCCTGCAGTTAGTTGCAGGCTTATAATATCTGTTCGGTAAGTGGAAGTTTTTTTCCCTGCATTGTTGTTAGAATCTTATAAATTATTTGTATCACAGCATTTTGTGTGCGTAGCTGCTGAGTATTAAAACTGCCTTGTTAGTAAAAGAATATACTAGGTTCTGTAACTATAACAGCTTCCACTGGGGGAAAAAACCAGGATGCTATTACTACTCTTGGTAATGTTGTTGCTATACTCACGTGCTTGTTAACCCAATTTCTTCAAAGGAGAATAGTACGTTCATGTTGCTGTTAGTACTGGAACCTAGATGTCAGCCTGAGAGTGACTAAGGGTGCACTTACACTGTAGAATGAATGCAGTTTGCCACTACTTTAACTGCCGTGACTCAATGCGATGAAATCCCAAGAATTGTAGTTTGCTGAAGTACTAGCACTCTTTGGCAGAGAAGGCTGAAGATCTTGTAAAACTACAATTCCCATAATTCCTTTGATATTCCCTGTGGACATTGTAGTTCAACAGAGACTTCAAGTTTGCTTTTTAGAACCAAGTCCAGTGCTATATCTATGTTTTTCTGTGTATAGAAAAGCCTGAAGCTTGAACCTGCTCTATTTCTCCTATAGTTGTGCAACTTGACCCTTTTTCTTTTTATTAGTTGAGTTAGTTCCAAAGGCCAAGGTTCTGATTATTATGTTCATGATATGCAAAAATGATCGGTGTGTTTGAAGAAATGATATAGATTGGAGCTTTCCTTAACTGTGAACGATAACAGTCCCTGATGTGAATGATTGCTGTGCCATGTATCTAGTGTGCCCTCAAGCCATTTTTAATTTAAGGTGAAATGATCATGGGATTTTTTTTGAGGCTGAGAGTATGTGACTTGCTCAAGGCTATCCCATTGGTTTCCATTACTGAGAGAGAATTCAAACCATAGTCACCAGAGTTGTAGTCCAGTACTCAAAGCACTGGACCATGCTGGTTCCTCAACATTACTCTACTACAGGCAGTCCCCAAGTTACAAACAACTCATAGTTAAGAACAGGGATGAGACAACAGGAAGTGAGAAAAATCTACCTATAGGAAGGAAAACTCCTGGAAGAGATACTTTATCACAAAAGAGTGTTTCTAGAACAAGCCACATTTTTCAGAATCCAATTCTCACAGGAGTAGAAGTGAGGTGAAATCTTCTGAACAGGGGCACAGACAGCAAAACAAACACCACAGAGGTGTTATACTTCCAAATGCTATCCAAAGCCAAAACATAAATATTTTTGGCTGGAGTTACACTTAAAAATGCACCTGTTCTGACTTACAAACTAACTTAAGAACAAACCTACAGAACTTATCTTGTTTGGAACTTGGGGACCACCTGCTTGAGTTATGGATGTACATGAGTTGAATGGCATTGGCTTTCAGACTACAATCTTACCTAATCTGACTTGGAAATCCTGGGGCCTGAACTTGGGATTTTCCGCACAAAGATTGGAGAAGTTATCTTTTTGGTTTACAACTCCCAGAAACCCTGTTCTGAGAGTGGTTTGGTTTTTAAAAGTAACTTCACTCAGCTTTTGTATGTGAAGTACATATTGCAGACCTACTTCTAGCACTTCCAAGTAGGTCTGCAGTATGTACATGGTGGCCCAATAATATTGTGTATTGTGTATGTGTTTTTATGCTTTTTAATGGAATATTGCTGCTTGTCGTTGTGTTGTAAACCGCGTTGAGTCGCCGATTTAGGCTGAGAAATGGCGGTATATAAGCACAGTAATAAAATAATAATAAATAAATAAATACATGAACCTGGTATTTTCCACAGTTTGGAAAATTACCTTCTTGGTAAATAGTTTCCAGACTCCTCACATGCCAGAGCTAGCACAGTGGCTGTACTTGTTGGGTGATTCTGAGACTTCTGGTTCAGAAAATTAACTTTCCCCAAGTTCATTGTTGTAAGTTTTTCGGGCTGTTTGACCATATCCCAGAAACATTCTCTCCTGACATTTCACCTGCTTCTATGGCAGGCGTCCTCAGAGGTTGTGAGGATGCCTGCCATAGATGCAGGAGAAATGTCAAGAGTGAATGCTTCTGTAACATGGCCATACAGCCCGAAAAACTTACAACAACCAAATGATTCCGGCCATGAAAACCTTTGACAATACATTTTCCCCAGTTCTATTTCTGCATGCAAAAACATAGTTTCCCTGAAACAATTTACTGGAGAACTCAAATTTTGAACTATCTTAGTACTTTTCAGAAGTGCTACTTCTGATAAGTGGCCTCCATGTTAGGAATAAGTACACTTGTACCTTATTAAAGAATATTAGCCCTCTTGTTCCACTACATGCTGATAGTGGCAGTCAAAATATCTTTCTATAAGTCAAATATAAGAGTTGTGTTGGATACATGGTTATGCGAACAGAAGAAATAAGTGTCAATATGGTCAGAACACAAATGACTCAGGCTCACCTTTTCTGTAGAACAGTAAAGCACGCTATGTCTAGGATAGATGTTCTCTTTGTATGTGAAAGGTGGTGCATTTTAAAAGGAGTTGGCATTAACTAAGTTAATACTTTATTGAATTACTATTTGTGTTATCAGCCTCATCACACCAGAGCATGGATCCACTTTAAATCCAGTTTCTGCCTCCTGCAGAATTCTGGGGCTTATAGTTTAATGAGGCCCAGAATGTCTGACTGAGCAGTTTATAGGCCCCTCCCTAAACTACAAGCCCCAAAATCCAGCAGGAGGCAGAAACTGGATTTAAAGTGGATCCATGTTCTAGTGCAGGAGTCCTCAAACTATGGCCCGGGGGCCGGATACGGCCCTCCAAGGTCATTTACCTGGCCCTCACTCAGGGTCAACCTAGGTATGAAATGACTAGAAAGCACACAACAACAATCCTATCTCATCAGCCAAAAGCAGGTCCACACGTCCCAATGAAATACTAATAAGTTTATATTTGTTAAAATCATTCTTCATTGTATTGTTTTTAAGTTTTTTTGCACTACAAATAAGATATGTGCAGTGTGCGTCATCTGCGTCAAATCTAATTGGTCTGGTCATCTTTCCCAGTGCCCTATAGACACTGAGAACTGGGAAGCCATGGCCCTTGAGCGCTCCAGTTGGAGCTCAGCTGTGACCAGCAGTGCTGTAGAATTCATTCATGGTTTTTTTCAAATGATAATCCAGCCCTCCAACACTTTGAGGGACTGTGACCTGGCCCTCTCTTTAAATAGTTTGAGGACCCCTGTTCTAGTGTAATGAGATCCTTAGTCTGGTATAGGATATTTGTTCAGAACTTGGAGGATTCCTTCTGGATATGATGAAGATCAAACAACCATGTTTAAATAATCCTATAGATAGAACCACTGCAAAGTGGATGTTTTTAGGACTGAAGAAATTGGCATCCTTAGATGTACAGTTCTGGGAACTCCTGAACATAGTTTCATGACTAAAGACCCAAATAGTTTCTACTGCAGAGGGTGCATTTTACCAGTGTGACTGGTTTGCCAACTTCTGGAAAAGAATTCTGACCATGGTGGCCTGTTCTCTAGTAACATCCCAGCAGCATTTAGTGAATTGCAGTAGACATGGGGCTGACTCTGAGGACTAGCCAGAAGCTTCAAATAGTTCCGAAAGTGTCTGCCAGAAATTTGCCTGCTATAGCCAAGTTTATGAATGTTTTGGCAATTTAAATGGTTGGCTGTCTATTCACTTCTGGGCATGATTCAGGTGCTGCCACTTACATTTGAAGCCCTAAATGGCTTGGGCTTCAAATATGAGAAGGAATGCCTCTCTTTGTCACGGGCTTTGTTTAAGTGCCAAAATATAGTACTTCAGTTGTCTTGAAGAGAGGACACAGCACATGTCAACTGATGAAAGGGCTTCTTTGTCACTGGTGCCCTGGCTATGAAATACTCCTTGTAAGCTCTAATGTAGAGTCTTATAGGTAACTCTGTTGGTGCCAAGCAAACATGTACTTCATTTATCCAGGCATTTTAATTCCATGTGTTTTTTAAACTTAAGGGTTTTGGCTCTTTTCTTTGTGTTGTGTTTGTGTGAAACCTGGAATTTCTGAACAGAGTAATAAATTATATTAAAAACATTTGCTAACTACAAGCATTTGTTACTGTCACTCCTTATAATAACAAGGAAGAGTTTGTTATTCAATATTTACATTCTGTATTTGTGCCAAACGATAAGTCGCCAAGGTTGCTTACAGTACAACAACACAACACAAGCATAGTTCTGTTTTATTTGTTCAGTAATTATGATTTTGTTATATCCCTTCAAGTTGACTCTGATGGCGATCCTCTAACAGGGTTTTCTGGGCAGGATTTTTCAGAGGAAGTTTGCCATTGTGCTTTCTAAGGATGAAACTTGCCCAAGGTGTCCCAGTGGGCTTCCATGGCTGAATGGGAATTCAAACACTAATATCTTGGAGTCCTTGACAAGCACTCAAACCATTATTGCTCTTAAAAGTTATGCAATGGACATCTATTAGAAGCATTCCTCTCTTCCATGATCTTACACCTGGAGCATGTCCCCTTGGGCAGCCAGATTATCTACTTCTCCTGACTCCTCTCAGTAGTTCAGAAGAAAGTTATGGAAAGCATTGGAGTTCTTAGCTGGTTATCTCTGGTGACTGTTGCTGCTCCAACAGAACTTTGAGATGACCGTTGCTGCTGATCCAACGGTTGATCTTCCAGAGTTTTTGTTCTGGTAAAAGGTGGCAAAGCTCTCTCAGAATTTGTTTTAAGTATTCCAGTTTTGATGTTGTAGGATTGTTTCTTCCAGTTAGGATGTTTGGTAGGATATGACTGGTGTGTTTTCCCTGAGGGATTATCTGGGGCTAAGAGGGGCAGTTTGTGATGACGGAAGTTGGCCCACTTTTTGTTGTGTCATTTCTAGTAAGATTTCTAATAAGAGATCTTCCAGAGTTTTGCAATGGGAAGGGAAAAGTAATCTTCCCAAAACCAGGAAAGATGTGTTCAACAATAAGGATCTAGGTAGTATTGAATGTCTCTGTTTCCTACAGATAG